GCTGCTGCTGCGGCTAGTAGTCAAGGAACTTCCAGCAGGCATCAGCTCTTTCATGCTGCGGCGACTCCCAAGCAGGCCAATTCTTCTACACCCTCTGTGTCATCGCACATTGATCGCGATGCTACTAATCTTTTGCCAAGCCTGCCACAACAATAATAATATGATACGGAAAAGGCGCGCGGGCTCAACTCGAAAGAAACAATATCTCTGACGCTTAGAGGTCGTATTATGGAAAGGTGTGGCTCTTGGTTGGCAACAGCCTGGTTGCCTTTCATGTCATTTCGCAGTTTCTTGGATGGTTGGACTGCTGCCTGGACTTTTTGGTCCGCGTGACGAAATCTGTTTGCAGTTCTTGCCAACCTACTACGAAGAAGGATCGAGCCTATTACTGCATAAAATGAATCGCTCTACTTTATAATAATTAAATGTACTGGTATTATAATATTATTGTTTTATTATCTGACACTCTTCGCCGATTTAGATGTATACTAAGAGTACTGTATCAAAAGGTTTTGCTCATGTTTCGGATATCGAAGGGCATATGTGATGGCGCAGTTTCTTCAATGCTTCGATGTTGTCTTGTAAATTGTTGGACTTCTTGGTATTATATTCATCTTTCATCAGTCAAAGACCGATGGGTTGATGTACCTATTTTCCCATTTTCATCTTGAAATAATTCGTCTCACAAAATTTCATCGGTCATCTTTTGACAGGCCGGCGCGTCATTCAGAATCCATTATAATACGTGTTTTCGTTTTTAGCATTCTGGAAATTCTTTTGTTGCATTATCATCATCATCACGTACACAGCAATCTTCGCCTCACAATACAATACAAGAAAATACAAGAAAATATGATATCGAGCGAAGCACCGATTACAGCAATCACCGACAAGACTGCAGACGATGATGCGTCGGATGTGACTGTGGAAAGCATTCTTCAAAATGTCCCACTGGAACAAGGACTGCAGCAAGGGCTTGTTCAGCAACAACAACAACAACAAGAAGACCTTGTAAATTGTTGGTCTTCTTGGTATTATATTCATCTTTCATCAGTCAAAGACCGATGGGTTGATGTATACCTACAGTATTTTCCCATTTTCGTCATGAATACCTTTTTTAAAAATTCGTCTCACAAAATCTCATCGGTCATCTTTTGACAGGCCGGCGCGTCATTCAGAATCCATTACGTATTTTCGTTTTTAGGATTCTTGAAATTCTTTTGTTGTATTGCAAATCATCATCATCATCACGTACCCTGGTACACACATAGCAACCTTCGCCTCACAATACAATATAATACAAGAAAATATGATATCGAGCGAAGCACCGATTACAGCAATCACCGACAAGACTGCAGACGATGATGCGTCGGATGTGACTGTGGAAAGCATTCTTCAAAATGTCCCACTGGAACAAGGACTTCAGCAAGGGCTTCAGCAGCAACAACAGCAGCAACAGCAGCAACAAGAAGACGATGAAGTACGATCTCAGTCGTACCTTCCTCAACAACTTCAACAATCCAAACCTGCTGCTCCCAAATTGTCACAACTACAAGAGAAATGGAACCAATCCTTTGCAAGTTCCGTTGGTTCGGTCCAATCGGGGGATTCGCCAGTCGTCTATGCCAGGGCTGTGAACTTGCCGACTGTTCGCAGTTCCTTGCCCACCACTACTACGGGTACAAAAATGGACAATACTAAAGGGCGACCGCCCGTCAAGGTTCGTGTGACGACCACTAACACGGGGAAGCCCATTACTCCAACTCGAGCCGCTACTTCCAATAATACTGCTGCCAATCGAATACTGTCAAACAGCAAAGCACCTCCCAGGACTGCCAACAAAACACCGCCCAGGACTGCCAATAAAACACCACCTCGAAAGAGCACAAAGTCGTCCAGAATGTCCGCAGCACTAAATCATCAGCATCAACCCACTCCTCCTCCTCCCGATATGAATGCTGGCCTGTATATGTTTGCCCAAATGGGACCTGACGGTTCACCACCCAAAGCAATCATTGAAACCTTTCAGGGTTCTTGTCAGTGCGGCGAAATACAGTTGCAAGTCCGATTGCCCAGTCATGACGACAAACTTTTGTTGGAAGTCGAAACCACCCCGGAAGAGATCGCGGCCGAAGAAAAGATTTATTATCGCTACATCAAGGCACGACAAAAAGATTTTGACATTACCAAAGGACAAGCCCGCATGTCAACCTATTTTGTCACCATGTCGGCGCCTCCCATTTTGGTATCTTCGACTGCTGCTGCTGCTTCCACTTCTTCTTCTTCTCCATCCGCTGCCGCTGCTTCTGCTGCTTCCCAAAAATCCAAATTCTTCATTCGACCCAACCAGGACAATACTTCTCCTCGATCCCATTCGAAAGGCGCTCGCGTCTTTTGTCCCCAATGTGGCGTTCACGTGTTGTACATTCCCGGCAAGAATGCTCCTCATTTGCACCTCAACATTAATTGCTTCCCCACCTTGGCCAAACAATATCCACCGCCGCCACCACCTCCCAAATCACGCACATTGGAACGAGAAGCTTGGTTTTGGGATCCCAAGACCTATTCGAAATACTTGAAGAGCACCAATACTTCGGAAGGACCTACTGGCATTGCCTTCTTGGATCGGTGTTGGCAATTGATCCAAGAACATTTGAAAGAGTACTTGCCATCGGTACAAGACTTTTTGGCGAACGTTTTAATGCCTCCTCCATCGAGTACTACTACTACTACTACTACTACTACCACATCTGCCAATAATATTATTGTTGACAATAAGAGCATCAAAGACAGCAGCAGCAGCAGCAAGGGAGAAGAACCGGATACACCTCATAGTATTAGAGAAAGCGTCGTCATGGCCTTTGAAGGGATTCCTACTCCGGAAAGTAGCTTTTTGGAAGACCCTGAAGATATCATTCTAGATGGTCTATCAGTAGAAGGAGCAATGACAGAAGATGGAAGTTTCAGGATAGACATGATTGAGATGGATTCATTGAAACTGGATGTGACGGAGTGAAGAATATGAATCCAAACCAAAATGGGGGAAATTCGTGCTTTCCCGTATTAATACAAGCAAGCAAAAAGAGCAAGACAACCGCTAGCTATATCCGATTTCCATGGTGGCACAATAAAAGGCCGGATGACCATCATGCAGTCGAATCGACTAGGTACGATGTTGCACTTTTAAATTATAATATTGTTATTACTATATATACCTAGACAATATTGAATCAGGACGCATCTTTCATCCCCAAAATACCGAAAATAGATTTTTTTAAAATGAATCAATCAATCGGCCACTCCATCATGCTCTACTGTATCCCCTCTCTTGACCACCAAATGCACCAAATGATACTACAGCAGTATATGGCTTTATCATATCAGCCCTCATAACTACTATCAAATATGATTAGTACGAGATGACAAGACTGACAGCCAAGTCTTGGTGTCGGCTCCATCTTGCTGCTTGACAGCAGCACTCAATTCCTTGCCACGGAGACGAGGAAGACAAACCTTGCTTTTGCGGATTAGGAGCATAGCTATTGGTGGTGCAACATACTAGTCATGGTGGTGTATATAGCTGGAGTTGCAGTTGTTGTAGCTGCAGCAATAGCGGTAGTAGTGCGGGTATCCGTCAGCAGTGTGGAAGCCGATAGATTGAGATTCATGAGCTTTTTAGTGATCATATGAGCAACTATATATGTATACGTTTCCTTTCAGGTTCCATATTTACTTTACGATCTATAATTCCATCCGTACCATGCATACTCATCTACAAGGCAATCAAGGCAATCAGCAAAGCACCCATTATCGTCCTGGTACTAATCGAGTGATTTGGTGCCGGAGATACTTCTTGCTGCACCTCCACGTCTACTTCGACATCAAAGTTTTCTTCACCGTCTGCTTGCAACATCCGTACCAGCTGACGTGATCGAACACCGTTGTTACCAATATCAAGAGTCACTGTTCCAAAGACCTCTATAGGAGTCGTATCACCAAAGAATTTCACAAAAGGGCGGGTTCCAATCACAATGGCATCTGTACCTAGACCCAGAATTTCGGTATTTCCTAACAACAAATCTGTTTGGGGAACGTTGATCTTTCGTCCATAAAAACCGTTCACAGCAGCAACCACCACGTTGGGGGATCGAGTATCAATGCAAATGAACAATGTCGCACCAACGCCCAAGGCTGGCGAGGCGATCTCTTTGCGACTAAGATCGCAGCGACGGGCAGTGACAGAAAATATCTTTGAATCAGAATCCACTTCGTTGCCCACACCATCAAAGACTTGCGTATTGATGTCCGAAACTGTGAATTCTGCATTCGACGTGAAGGTAGAGCTGATCTTCTGGCCTTGATAAATCATGAGGTTGCTGTTTGCATCGCGCAGATGGGTCAGGAGACAAAAGTCAAAAGTTTCCGACTCTCCATTGGTCAAATCGAAATCGGTATTGATATCAATGATGACACTGTAGTCGCCGCTGGTAGCAGCTCCATTGGTAGCTGAAAGAGACAACTCTGAATCGCGAGTAGCAGCTCCTTGACAATTATCAAAGCCAGTGATGAAACTAGCAATGTTTCCATCAGAGGGCTCAATGTTACTAAAGTCACATTGGACATCAAGCTCATCTGTAATGCTGCATGAGGGCGCATTGAGAATGTAGTCCTGAAGATCAAACTGCGCCCATACGCAGATGGAATCATTGAAGGAAAGAGTGCTGGCAGCCAGAAGAATGAAGGTGGGTAGTAGGCCTAGTGGCTGAGCGACAACAAACAAGTTATCAATACTTCCAATGCAATAATGCACACTATTTCCAAGGCTTCTCTTTACGCACCCAGATGATTGTCATAGGAGTCTATTGGAAATGTTATTTTTCGATACTGAATTGTAATATTATTATGACGTTCTACACTGTAAATATGTCCGGCGTTTTTATTCTTCGAAAGGACAGTCATTCACATATATTATATATATTGAAAATATGTTGCTGGAAACTGGCACAAAATTCTTTTTTTTCTTCTCGGAAAATTAAAAAAATATGCCGGAGAAATATTTGCTGTGGAAGTACTGCAGAAATTATAAAAAGTACGATGCATCATCATTCCAAATTGAAAATAAGTGCCCTACTGTACACGTACCGGTACATATATACCAGAATCGTAAAAGTTTTGAAAGTCTGCATAATGACGAGATTGGACGATCAGCATTCCCACCACAGCCGTACGCAAACTCACACATCCGTTGGTGAAGGCAAACAGAAGAAGCGAAAAGGGCGTCAAAAGAGCGTTGGAAGAAAGGAACGACGCAAGAGTTCTCGCTCCTCCAGTTTGAGTGGTCGTTCCAGGCATTCACAGAAGAGCGATGATACTTCTCCTCGGCGTCTTCGCCGTTCCACAGACAGAGAACGACGTAGGAGAGAGCGACCAATGATGTCCTCCTCTCCTGGTGGCAATAGACGACGAAAGAGGCTGTCAAAGAATCATTCCCTAAGTGATCTGAGAGATCTCCAACACATTGACGGCTCTCTACAACGTTCTCTCGATCATGGCTATCGTCGGAGCAACACCAGCCCTGACCTCATACTACAATGGACGAATAGGAGGGTTGTGGGAGAACCACCACAGTCCCCGCAAAATTTCGATTGGGCAGACCAGGTTGGCACTATCGGACCACCTGGAAGCATTCTACCAAAAGCTCGCGAAGCAGCTTTTGACTTGGATGGACCAACTACAGATGGTGCACCCAAACCGGCGGTGATAGCCGAGGAGGAGGAGAAACAACCAACAACAGATAGCCAGCAACTACTACGGCTACACCACCAAATGGGTCACATCTCTTTTGCGAAACTGCAAAGCATGGCAAAGCAAAATATCATTCCACGAAGGTTGGCCAATGCTGATATTCCAAGATGCACTGCCTGTTGTTTTGCCAAAGCTACCATGTACAAAATGTAGAGATGTGCCACTAAGCTATGGACTCCCCGTGGCAAGATGGGTCTCCCCTAAATACATGAAGTATCTTTGGGGTTGGAAGTTTACATCTCACTTCCCCATTTGTCACAGGTACTGGATATTCTTACAGGCAAGGCTGGCTCCAAATTTGGTGAGATTTGGTGGGAACCTTATTAGTGTTCAATACTGCGGTATGTATTATCCGGAGGGAACTCCTTATTTTTCGGTCAAACTTGGCGTCATATTGTGACTTCCACGCTTCTTTATCCCGTGACTGTCGTAGTCTTCGGGTAAAGTTCCAAATGTCAGTTCGGAACCACAACAAAAGTCCCCTTTGATTTGCCTTGATAGTAATAGCAGGTACACGTGTACCAGGTACTAGGCGGTCATCATAGCAAATAGTGTCTCTTTTTTTTCCACTGAGGAATTTTTTATTTTGCACTGACTAACTTCTATTTGCCGTGGTGGTCATTTCGAATGGTGTTGTTCAATATGTTTTGTGTGCCTTTTTCCCTTGTGGACTTCTTGCACTGACTAACTTCTATTATATTTGCCGTAGTAGTCATAGCCAATAGTTTTTTTATTAAATCGGTTTTGAATGTCTTTTTCCGGTGAGGATCTTTTTCACTGAACTGGCAATACACAAATGTACGGGAGTTTGCAGTATCGCACTTTATATACAGTATATGGAAATACGTAGTATTCAACCGCACAGCAAATAAGTTCACCGTTTTTTAATTTTGGTTGTTTCTCGTCCTCACAATTTCAGATTTCACTGAAACCGAAACGACAAATTCTAGACAAGATGAAGTTCTCGGTACGTTGATGATCAAAGCCAGTAATTCCATTCTTTCTTAAGCATCAACTAACAATCGCAAACACTGATCGTTTCAGACCTTCTCCATTGGCCTTCTTGCTACCTGTGCATTGCTGCAACCTGCTGTAACTGCTCAAATCACTTTCGTTGATGACTGTGACTCTACAACTATTCAAGAAGATAGATGTTGCATTGCATCCAATGGCATCGATGTTTGTTCTAATCTCCCTAGTGTTGACGGCGTTTTCACTGTTTCGAAAGGTTCTTGCACAGGTGGATTGTACTGTTGTGCTTATGCGGGAAGCAGTGGAGGAAGCGCGATCATTGGTGAAAATAGTTGCACTCCTGAGCCGGGCTTTGTGGACCCTACAGGAGAATCGACTACTAAGGACCAATCTTGCACATTTGCAGGAAATACTGAAGGTGACTTTAAAGTAGGAGATGGTTCTTGCAAAGGTTCGGTAGCATGTTATCAAGCTGCACAAGTAAAAGGTAAGGCGGTTGTTGGAAACGGCAGCTGCAATGCAGGTTTTAGTGCCTGTGCTCGTATTGGCTATGGGACTTCAACTGCCATCATTGGAGATGGCAGTTGTATTAATTGGCAAGCTTGTATGGAAGCTGGTCGAGGAGGATCAGCCGAGATTGGGACCAACAGTTGTATTGGTACAAATGCCTGCTACCAAGTTGGTTGTCACGAAGACGGCATTGTTGGAGACAATAGTTGTGTTGGTTTTCATGCCTGTTTCGGCCTCGGATCTGCATCATATCAGGACATCGATAGAGCATCGCGAATTGGGAGCAACTCGTGCAACTGTGACAACTGCTGTTCTTGCCTTGGTCAAGATGACAAAGTGAATATCCCCAACAACTCTTGTAATGAACTTGAGCTCTCAGATGGTTCCAATGGCCCTCAATGTTGCACGACAGACGCAGCCAGAGGAACTCTTCCCATAGCGGATGATATTACTGTCACTCCCACCCCCCCGGTAAGTTTCTTTTCTTTCATCTGCAGGGATGCTTTAATACACGTTTGTGTTCCACGTTTCTCACCGGACCATTGCTTTCCTAACTCTTGAATTCTATAGGGTGGATCGGGTGGTGACAGTGGTCCGACTTTCAACCTTCAAGACTACACAGTCCCAGCACCCGTTTGCGCCATC